GCGAGGAGTTCCACAGATTGACTGTGCGCTGCGTGGAGAAAAACGTCCTTTTGTTAGTTTTAAACCTGCTGCCTGTTCATTTCAGTTGGTGACCCCTCGTTCTTATACTGTGGGAATAAGTCAATAACTTTTCCTTATTCACTTTCTCCACACCAGTCCTGATTTTATAGACCTCGATCACATCCCCCCTTCCTCTCCTCTTTTCTAAACTGATCTTTTTCATCTCTTTTCATATGGCAGCTGTTCCAAACCCCTCACCATTTTTGTTGCCCTTTTCTGAACCTTTTCCTGTGCCAAGAGATCTCTTTTGAGATGAGGCGACCACATCTGTACACAGTATTCAAGATGTGGGCGTGCCATGGGTTTATATAGAGGCACACACGGTGGTTCTTTTTCCTCCGAGCTCAGGGGTGCAAGTCGCTCTTTACAGACGTACAGATGCCTTTGCTTTGCAACAGACGACCACTGGATTTCTGTCTTGGCTGTAAAGAAATTCAAGGGGGTGGGAGTGGAGTCTTGTGATCAGTGTCAGGATGTTTGGGTTCTGGTCTCTGCTCTCCAGCTCTCATCTGGAAATGACAAGGATGTGTTTCTATAGTTGGAAAGGCCAGAGTGGAGCATTGTGCCTCACCTCCTGCGCCCTCCAGGCCAAAGAACAACAGCTTTCACCCACCTGCTCCAGCTGGCGGGGGGCTATTACGCACTGTGTGGGTTTGGAACGGGTCCCATATGAGGAGAGATTAAGGAGACTGGGACTTTTCAGCTTGGATAAGAGGAGACTTAGGGGGGATATGATAGAGGTCTATAAAATCATGAGTGGTGTGGAGAAAGTGAATAAGGAAAAGTTATTGACTTGTTCCCATAATATAAGAACTAGGGGCCACCAAATGAAACTAATGGGCAGCAGGTTTAAAACAAATAAAAGAAAGTTCTTCTTCACACAGCGCATAGTCAATCTGTGGAACTCCTTGCCTGAGGAGGCTGTGAAGGCTAGGACTATAACAGGGTTTAAACGAGAACTAGTTAAATTCATGGAGGTTAAATCCATTAATGGCTATTAGCCAATATGGGTAAGGAATGGTGTCCCTAGCCTTTGTATGTCCGAGGGTGGAGATGGATGGCAGGAGAGAGATCAATCAGTACCTGTTCAGTTAACTCCCTCTGGGGCACCTGGCATTGGCCACTGTGGGCTGTACAGGGTACTGGGCTGAATGGACCTTTGGTCTGACTCATATGGCCATTCTTATGTGGTATCCCGACAGCCCTGGTCAGGAATCAGGGTCCCATTGTGCTTGGGTGCAGTGGACAATCCCTGCCCAAGACTGCTTGCAGTCAAGGTGTTAGGCACAGCACAGCAGGTGGCGATACCAGGCAGATGCCTGGTCTGGCCCCTGGCTTCCCTCTGAAGGCCAAGTGGGTCATGTGTTCGGGAGGCGCTCGGGGAGACACGGTTCTCACCCCGCTGGCGGGAGATGCTCCACCTCTTTCGCTCTCTCCTGGCACTTGCCCGAGACCTCCCCCTGCTCCACGTAGCCCCTGGTTGCTTCCAATCCAGCCCGCCACCAGCGCCAGCAACTCCAGCCCACGCCAGCCAGGACGGCTGCTCACATCCCAGCCCTGCGATCGCGCTGCCAGCCAAGCACGCTGCACAGATAAGGATGCCAAACAATTAGTGTCAGATGACAATAAAAAGCCTGGTTCTTATCCTGCCGGCAGCTTTGTTTACACTGCCATGGCTGGCCGCAGCTCCGCTAGGATCCGTGAGGACAGGGAGCGGCCACCCAGGCTGTTGAGCTCCGGGGGATGTGGCGGTCCCAGCTGGCAGCAGCAGCCCAGTCACAAGACTGCACCATGCCCGATGCAGCTTTTCTACCTGGGTCCTTCAGACAGCCCAGTCTTTCCTCTACAGGACAGGCCGCTGGTCACGCCCTCAGCACTGTAATATGGATATTTCCATGCAGCCGGGCAGGGCCTTGGTCAGGGAATACAGACAGGCTCTGCCCCAAGAAACTCGCCATCCAGCTTAGAGCTGACTGGATGTGATGGACGGGACACGCCCGCTCCCCATGGCTGCGAGGTTACTCAACCTGTGGAACTCCTTGCCAGAGGATGTGGTGAAGGCTAGAACTTTAACAGAGTTCAAAAAAGAGCTAGATAGATTCATGGAGGTTAGGTCCATCAATGACTATTAGCCAGGATGGGTAGGAATGGTGTCCCTGGCCTCTGTTTGTCTGGAAGTGGGTGACAGGGGAGGGATCATGCGAGGATTACCTGTTGTGATCCCTCCCTCTGGGACATCTGGTATTGGCCCCTGTCAGCAGACAGGACACAGGGCTAGATGGATCTTTGGTCTGACCCAGTCTGGCCGTTCTTATGTACCAGTCCTTCTCACTCCCCCTCCCAGCTCAACCAGCTAGCTGGAACCAGGCAGGGGAGGTTGTCAGAGTGTGTTGGGCAGGTAATGTGGCAGGCTGGCTCTGGGGTTATCGAAAGCCCCATCAGCTCATTCCTCAAGCAGCTGCGTGTTTAATGAAGAACATGGCCTCATGCAAGGAGAGCAGGGGGAGACGGGTGCCCGGAGGCAAGCCTGAGCCACGTGCCTGGGAACAACACACAAACACCGGGGGACTATGTGTTAAAGACTCACGGCTCAGGGTCACAGACAAGGTTTGTCGCCCTGCCAGCACTGCCTCCACTCCAGGCGATCCGTGCACAGAGCCCCCAAGGGAGAGCGAGTGGAAAGGAGAGGGGAGGACCCATCAGCAGGGGGAAGAGGGGATGCGTACCAGAGCTACAGCGTGAGCTGAGGACAGACAGGGAGAACAGCTGAGACAAGCAAGTGCCTGGATGGGACAGGAGAACAGGGAGGAACCAAAGCCGACCCTAAGGTAGAGATCTCCACTGGCACCCATCTGACCTGCCCACAGCGTGCAGGAGAGTGGCAAGCCTGTGAGAAAACGTTTTTCACCAGACTAGTGAGCTGGGGCACTGTCCCAGGGCAGTGCGGGTTAGAGATACAGGCTAATGGATACAGACTCTGCAGGGGACACCGGCTCCCTCTGCTGGGCAAAACAAACCAGACTTGTTCAAGCGCTGCTGTCCAGACGGGCGCCAGCACCACCCCCCCTCACAGATGCTGGTGGGCTTGGGTCTGTTTTTCCTCCCCATCCATTTCCTGCCTCCGGCTGAAGGTTCACTATTTTTGCTTAGTATCTGCGTCAGCTGCGGGAAGATGGAAACCGGGGGCACTTGAGGAAACAGACCAAAAAGTTTCTTACATCTCAGTGGCCTTCAGTTTCAGGGGGATGCAAAGGGGAAGGGGGTGGGCAAACCGCACGACGGCGCTACGCCCACTCCATAGTGCCTTAAATAAGGAGTCACGGCCCAGCCCAGTGCAGGGACAGAGGAACAAGGCCATAGCTACTCCCAGGCCTCCTGCGAGCAAAACAGTACTCAGGGCAGCAGGGAGATACAGGCCCAGAGCTGAGGCATCACACCAAAGCCCCCAAATGCAGGTCTACACGGGCGCACCTGTGAGAAGGGCAGCGTGTGAGCCAAGGGTACATGGATCATAGCTTCCACGTCACATGAGCGCCTGTTACAAGGCAAAAGGGTTTTCTCTCCACCAGCCGCATGAACTCAAGCCCCTTGTCAGCACTGACAATTACCTGCTGCTGACAATGGGTGTTGGCGAGGGCTGCACCTGAACCAGTGCCCAACAGCACGTAGACAAGGGCAGGGAAGGGCAAACTCTCCCTGAGAACGCAGCAAAAGGTGCCCAGCAGAATCGAGCTGAGTTCCTGCTGTTTCACCACGGCAGAGGCCGGAACATCACGCTGGACTCCGTCAGGCTATGACTCCACCGCAGCCTTATTTCGGAATAGAGCTGCCAGCCTGTATTTCGACACAACGTCGAGCGGGAGGACTTCTTACTCTGCCTCCTGTAACCCTCGTTTCACGAGGAGTAAGGGAAGTCAGAGGAAGAGGGATCTTCCTTCCACTTCCTGCTGTGCAGACAGCGCCGAAAGCCGAATTAAGCTATTTCAACTTCCGCGACGCAGTTGACGCAGCTGAAGTTGCGTCACTTATTTCGGCTTTAGCTCTGCTGCGTAGACGGGCCCCCACTATGCACCACTGCTGTAAAGCAGCCCTGTCACACCTGCCTGTCCCTCTAGCCACAAGCAGGGCAGCCCAGGTGACACTGAAGCAAATATTTGTGGCCCATGAGACATTTTGTTACCATTGACCACGCACAGGGTTGCTGGATTGTGCCCGTTTTCATCTGCATCCGAGTTTGTAGTAAAGTAGGACTTCAGGATCTGGAAAAGGCAGTGGTTATACTGGAAATAATCTAATGCAGTGGTGGGCAACCTGCAGCCCCAATGCGGCACCATCAGGTTGTGTGTGTGGCCCATGAGACATTTTGTTTACCATTACTCAGGTGCAGGGTTCTGCTGGTTTCCGTCTGTTCAGTTTTCTCCTCCCAGTATTACTAAACTTTAGTGACACTCATGTAAAGCAAGAGCATGTGAAGGGAGGTGAATGTAGCAAAGGCAGGTGTGTGGGCTGATTACACTCAACACTGAGAGCCGTGCGTGCCCTCTGCATCCAATCAAAGTGCTGCTACAGTTCAACCAGCACATCCCGCAAATTCTAGGCACCCAAGCACAGTGAGCAAAACTACCTTATCCCAAGAGACTGTCTCAGTCATGGTAATCTTGCAGCCCACTGAGATAAAGGAGGCTGCTCACGAGCCCTGGTTGCCCATCGTTGCTCTAGGACATGAGGAGAAAAGGGCCCAGACTGTCTCTGGGGCTGGCACGTAGGAAAAACATCTTCTCACTCGCAAAGGCAGACCAGGGGGGTTGGAATCCGGGAGACAGATGGCTGGGAATCCTTGGCCATCTTCACAGACTTTTCAAGGCAGAGTCGCAGTGTATGGCTGACAGAAATGCAACCCTCAGTTTCGTTAACGATGAAGCGAAAAAACCACCCGGTGCTGCTCTATAAATATACCTTTGTTTAATTATGCCAAAGGAATCCCCAGGCAACCACCCCCACCACAGTCTGCTTCACAGTGAGCGCCTCTTGTTCTTCTGCGGGAATCAGCCTGAGCCCGCGCTCGTCACGCTCTGCGATGCAGTAGGGGCTGGCAGAGCCTGATGCTGTGACCAGAACAGGGGCCAGAGATCTGCCCTTTGAACACCACACTCAGCTCACCAGCCACCAGCTGGAGAGCCATGTGATTGGCTTGCCAGCATCTGCTCTTCAGTTACTTTCACGGGAGCCAAGCTCAATAACTGGAGTGGTTCCGCGTCATTCCTGGAGCAGCTCCCTTTGAATCTACCTAAAGCCCCCTGAACTCCCCAGACAGATAGAATCAACAGGGAGAAGAGAAAGACAGAAGATCTCTGAAGAGGTCTAAGAAAAAGTCACGTCTCCGGAAGGCTTCGCAGCTTCTCCTTGCCCCAAGAAAGCCAGAATATGCAGCGGCTTCCAGTCACTGCTCAGTGGTAGGCCTGGAGACTGAACCTTTCAAGCTGGAAATGCTTTAGCAGTCAGAGGAGAGGGGGAAAGAAGGGGGTGCCTGTTAAAAGAACTTGACGCCTCGGCCGTCGTCGAGTGAGATAATTTCCGTCTCCGGAAGGCTTCGCAGCTTCTCCTTGCCCCAAGAAAGCCAGAATATGCAGCGGCTTCCAGTCACTGCTCAGTGGTAGGCCTGGAGACTGAACCTTTCAAGCTGGAAATGCTTTAGCAGTCAGAGGAGAGGGGGAAAGAAGGGGGTGCCTGTTAAAAGAACTTGACGCCTCGGCCGTCGTCGAGTGAGATAATTTCAGCTCGGTGTTCTTGTTGTAAGGCTTGCAGGGCACGAAGCAACATGGACTCCTCCAAGCCATGGAACTCTAGGGAACGGACGAAACACCCTCAGTCAGTAGCAGCCACAAGAATCACACCTCAGCCCCAACGCACGGCAGCCTGCGAGTAATGGAGGCAAACAAGGAGGTGCCCCATGGACCACCTTTCCCGGCCCCCAAGAGTGAAACGAAGAGCAACAAATAATCCAAGCCACTGTCATCGCCCACTACACTGACGCCTCGGAAACAGAGCTGTTAAACAGAGAAGGAGCAGACAACGCAACGTTCAGCACAGACCTGAAAGCGGCAAGCGAGCCAGGCACATCCCACAAGGAAGAAAACTCAACCCCCCGGGAGCCAGATGAACAAGAGACCAGAGCTTTGGCATGGAGAAGGGAGAGAGGTTTGGAGACAGGCAGGGATCATGCACACTGCAATACGGGAATCGCGGGCAGGCTGTGAATAAGACTTACAGCCCCGCTTCTCGGTGGTGATTGGCGTGAGCCCTAAAACACAGAGATCGCATGCAGCGACTACAGGCCATTGAAAAAGATTTCACCGTTTAAAACAGTCACCTGGCAGCACAAATTATTTATTCTTACAAGGCTGCTTGTGCTTTGGCAAGCAGCCCCAGGACACGAGATGCGCTGTTACCTTCATTCGCCGTGTCATCTCCATGGGACAGCTCATAAAGCGTGAACACGGAGTTGGTCAGGCCATTCTTAGACACCTGGGAAAAGAAGAGCAAGTCGAGAACTTCGCTTCTGTGTCTTACAGACTGTTAGGCCCTAGAGAATTGGGCCTAGTGCAGTTATGTTAAGACAGATCAAGGAAAGAGGTTAACAAAGGTTTCTGGGTAGTTCCTGAACAGAACAGAACTAGAAATATGGCTCAAGCAAGGGGCAATCCCTACGTACTTGCTTAAGTTGCAAAATAAAGTAAGTAAAAGGCTGCACCTGTGATGAGAACAGCTAGTTTGAGAACTGATAAAGTAACTCCCTGTTTCTGTTCTCACCCTGATCTTAACGAACTGTCTCTGCCCTCTGTTTGTTTTAACTCCCTGTCTCCTTGTTGTTTGGTACTTGCCTTCTAGGCTAATAAAACAGCTGTTGACGCATTATAAATTGCTTAAGGCCATGAAGTATACGCATTAACACTAGAAGTTTCAAATTAATTAAGGGGGGGCTGAGATGCTTGGGCAAATGTTTTATGACGCGACGGAACTGTCTATATAATCTTACTTGTTACTGAAATCAGGGCTGGTTCACTTGGGAGACGGGCCGCTCTCTATTGTAGTGCGCACTATTCAATAAAGAGCTTGTGATTGGATCTTGCTGGTATTGCCTGTCTCTTTGCGGTCAAATAACCCGGACGGCCTCCGTTCGTTGAAGTCCCTGACAAGACCATGTTCCCAGCAGGGATCTCCATTTCAATGGAGTGGCACCTACTCAGTATTTAGTGGGCAAACAAGCCAACTCCTCAAACAAAGAGATTTGACTGTGGAGAAAGTAATCCAGTGCCCGTCGCTAACCCCCTCCTTTATTCCGTCTCTCCATCTCTAATGAGTTTTACGAGAACTCGTGTCACGGAGAGGAATGTCTGAACCACACTCTCTAGGAGATGGGTGTGGACAGTGTATTCGTTGCAGCTCACAGCTTTTCACACAACTGCAAGGGCCCGACACCTCTCTGCAGCAGAGGGAAATGGCACCCACAAAGGTAAAGGGCAGTGTGCAATCAGGACACCAACGTTTGAGGGTTCCGTTTTTCACAAATCCAGGCTCTTTGGTAGTGTCCATCTACCCACGGGGCTGGCTTTAGAAAGGGCCAGTTGCAGGGGAGAGGTCAGATCAGCCATGCCACTGAGTCTGAAATGACAGCCGCCTCCCCACACACAGAAATGGGGCCTTGCGCTGAACAGTAACAACCTCACCCACTGATAGATGAGCTTTCCCCATTCTTCTGGTCTCCGCCACATGATCAGGAAAGTGGATTTGTTCTTGTCTAACCATTCTAGGTTCCCTGAAACACAATGGAAAGGGTGGACTTACCAAAAGGCCCCCAACTGAGAATGAAACCTCTCATTACAGGTGGATGCTCTGCATGTCCGTAGCTCCAGCGCCACCCCATCCTGTCACTCACATCAACTTCCTACCCACCCCCACATTCAAATAAAAAATCTCTCCTCCCCCTGGACTGGAATTTTCAGTTTAGAAAAGAGGAGACTGAGGGGGGATATGATAGAGGTCTATAAAATCATGAGTGGTGTGGAGAGGGCCGATAAAGAAAAGTTATTTATTAGTTCCCATAATAGAAAAACTAGAGGACACCAAATGAAATTAATGGGTAGCAGGTTTAAAACTAATAAAAGAAAGTTTTTCTTCACACAGTGTGTAGTCAACCTGTGGAACTCCTATTAGCCAGGGGATAAAATGGTGTCCTTGGCCTCTGTTTGTCAGAGGCTGGAGAGGGATGGCAGGAGACAAATCGCTTGATCATTGTCTTCAGTCTACCCTCTCTGGGGCACCTGGTGCTGACCACTGTTGGTAGATAGGATACTGGGCTAGATGGACCTTTGGTCTGACCCAGTACGGCCGTTCTTATGACCCTAGCTCTTCCAGAGCTGTGGCTTGCAATTCTCCATAAGGAAAGAAACAAGGAGTTCTGAAAATAAAGACAACACTGAAAAACAACCAGAACGCCAGGAGATTCCAAGAGGAGTGACACAGTCCATGCCAGGAGCGTTTTGGGACAGTCGTACAGCCAGATTGTCCACTCTAGGAGGGATTTTGGGCACAGGTTTTATTGACACACCCAGCATAGGCGCACACAAACAACCACAGACAATTCAGCAGAGGTTTTCACCCACCTTTTTTCCTGAGTTCTTCCAACACAACTTGTATGGATTCCATGGGGAGTTTCCCTGGTTCTGGGTTAAGGAACCATTCAGTGCAATTTGGCAGCACAGGCAAAGCTCAGAGGACGATGTCAGACAGATGACCATCTCTAACGCGGTTCACAGCAGGAACCGGTTGGGGGAAGGAACAGAAAGCAACACATACCCTGACATAGTTCTGCATAACTGAAATAAGCAAAGCTTAAAATCACAAGTCCACATAACATTTTCATGGCATCTTTCATCCCAAGGATTCCACTGCGCCTCACAAACCACCGACAAACCAAACACACATTCCCATCAAAACGTAGCACCTCTGGGATCCAGAGCAGCCGGGCTGAAAGTTGAGGAAAAGGGAGGGCCAGACTTAGGGTGGGCAAGGGCGGGGGACACCATGCTCAGATGGGCACATGCACAACACAGAGGTGTACTATGCGGCATCTCTCACCTGACCTGCTGAGAGCCTGCTGGGCAGCCAGGCAGGTGAGTGGCAGCATCTGGAGAGGGGGACCGATGACCTGAGCTATGGGGGGCAGCTGGATCAGCTGGTAATTCTTCAGGATCAGGGGACCTCTGGCCCCCACTGCCCTGTTCCACTGCCATCTGCAGCCTTTGCTGCTCCTGCCCCTCTTCTCACACCATGTAGCCAATCCTGGCCAACCTGCTCAGGACCAAGAGTCTAACTCCTGTCTGCTGCACAGAGCGCTGATGTCACAGTGTGCTGTGTACCCAGTCCCTAATGAGCCAGGGAGGGGAGGGAGAGCCTGTCTTTGTTATGCTTCTGGATTAGGAGTGGCCGCTGCTGTCTAAATAAACATTCAGATTGGTGAGTGCTCTGCTTAAAAAGACAGCACTCTGACACACACACATTCTCACGCAAACATCTATTACTACTGTTATTTCTTGGGACTTCCTGTCAAAAGGCACAAGGCACTTAGATTCTCTGTCACTTTATTCTTTCAAAGTTCAGTTAAGGATTAGCATGCTATGAGGTTAGTTTTTTGAAGGGTCTGTGGCTTTCACAATTTTATGTTTTTAAGCTTAAATGTAATTCTTTGAGTAGTGAATGCTAAGTGTCTAACCTGTCCTGGCTGGAGTAATTATTGTTATTACTTTTATTAGCATATTGTGCTTTGTCATTCATTATTTAAAATGGTATAATCAAATAGTAGTCTGTCTAGATTGTAAATTTAGTTTGTACTCACCTTAACAGTGCCAGTTAAAAAATAAATAACTAAACATGTAACTTCAGACACTGTGCTGATGAAAGTCATCATTTTCAAACTGCGCAATAACTTAAAATTAATACAAAATTAAATTAAATGTGCTTTGTCATTCATTATTTAAAATGGTATAATCAAATAGTATTATCTGTCTAGATTGTAAATTTAGTTTGTACTCACCTTAGTTTGTACTCAGCAGTTAAAAAATAAAATAGATTGTAAATTTAGTTTGTACTCACCTTAACAGTGCCAGTTAAAAAATAAATAACTAAACATGTAACTTCAGACACTGTGCTGATGAAAGTCATTATTTTCAAACTGCGCAATAATTTAAAATTCATACAAAATTAAATGAAATTTTAAGTCTGATAGTAATAGTCATGATGAAGTCAAAGGTGAGTCAGATACATGACTGTGATTGATAAAAATCAATGCCAAATTAATTAGAAAAATAAATTCCTGTTCTTAATAAAATAGAAAAAAATCAATCATGCATGTAAAAATTAAGTAAATATGTTTTTAGTGGAGTGAGAAAAAAATGACTAAAACAGAGTAGATAATGGCAGTAACACAGAGTCTCTGTTAGAGAAAGTAAGCAAATTGCAAGCAGGTTTTATTTTTATTTATCTCTACAAAAGATAGCGAACAAAGTATCAAACTTGTGTTTCTGATATCTGTGTTAAAGCTGCAAAACTGATACGTCTACATTGAGGATTGGGAATATCTTGCTGTTTTATCTCCTGACAAATATGGCTTTTATTGGTGTGTGCATATATTTTTTTCTTTTTTAATATAGGAATTAGATAGAAATTAGCTGGCAGAAGCACTAAGTTATTAGCTGCAAAAAATCCTGCAGCGGGGTTGTCAAACTGCATTGTACTGTGACTCTCTTCTGACAACCAAAAATACGACATGACCCCAGGAGGGGATACAAGCCTGGGCCTGCCTAAGCCCCACTGCCCTGGAATGGGGGGCCAAAACCAACACCCAAACCTCACTACTTCAGGTGGGAGAGCAAAGGTGAAGCCCTCAAGTTTTGGCCTAGACAATGGGGCTTGCTTCAGCCCCAGGCCCCAGCACCTCTAGGCCAGCCACAGTGACCCTAACAAAATGGAGTCCTGACCCACAGTTTGAGAACCACTGACCTAGAGTTTTCAGGTGCCTAAGTAGTCTTGGAATCATGGCTAACATTGCCGCCCCCCCACCAAAATCTGAAATGGCACCACTGGTGAGCCAGGAGCGGCCAGAAAACTGCCAGATGGCCATGGGCTCCGGCAAGATGCAGTCCCTATATGACAGTGTAAGAAAGCCTGCTCTGAGCAGCAGTCTCAGAGTTAGGCACTAGGGATGTAAAACCTGGGACATGGGTGGGGGCACTGCTCCAGCCTGTCCAAGCCTGCCACACCACATCGCCGGCAGAAGGCTGCATCAGCTGGGTCAGGCAGGGCCCGTTGCACCACACCACAGGCAGGGGCTGCTCCATCCAGGCTGGGCTGGAGCGCAGTTGGCCCTGCTGGACTGGAGCAGCACCACAGGCTGGGTGGGAGAAGCCTGCTTTGGCCAGGCCGGTTAACCAGTTACCCTGGCAAGCATGCTGGTAAGGGGCATACTTACTGGGTAACTGGTGAATCCATTACATTCCTACTAGGCACCATGAGGCAGTGCAGAAGCACGATACACCACATCACCCTTACTTCTGCGGTATTGCCTTCATTGCGGGGTATCAAGCCAGCAGCTGCTGCTCTCTGGCCACCCAACCAACACTTACCTCTTTCAAAACAAATTAAGCATGAGGAGAGGCTCATGGAGGTGATGGGAGCCTAGGCATGATGGGGCACCCACAGGCACCAATGGCTACAAAATACAAATTCACCCACGATCCAATTTTCCCTCAGGCCAGGCTTTGAAAGGGGAATTAGAAAAATCCCTTTTTTGACATGGACTCCTTATGAGGTTTACTATCCACGCAGACAGCAGCACAGAGACAACTTCCTCAAAGGGGGATTACAATGCAGAACACCCTACCCTTGCTGATACAATGTTATTTACTGCCTGACGCTGCTGTGCTAACAACAGGAACGAGCATGCTGGTCTGGGACCAAGGGGTAGAGATGTTTACCTAGAAAAAATGTGTATGTTACAAACAGTTCTGCTCTATAACTGTCACTTCTGGCTGTTATAGAGACCCTGTGTTGTATTCATGGAGCCCCAGACACAGCAGCTATCTACTGCTGTAGGGAACTGTGCCACTCAGCATATCCTGATCCCAGCCCCTCCAGTGGTTGCCAATTGCTTTTTAATCTTTTCAGAGCGAGGAAAAGCCACATCAAACTGCTGGTTGAGATTAAAGTCACTACCAGGCACCCCAGGCAAAGAAACAGCGTGAGCGCCAAGGATACGCTGCAGCTTCCTGTTGTTGAAAAGTGGACTCTCCTGAGCTTCCAGGACCGTCATCGTGTACAGCTTGTTGAGGCGACAGTATGACAGCACCAAGGAGCACCAGGCTGTCATCTGCTTCTGACGGGTGTCCACATTGGGCTGCAAGCTAGAAACACACACAGAGGTGCTCCCAGTCAACACCGGGCTCCAGGCACAGCAGGCTCTGGGGTTAAAGAGGCTTAAGGGGATGACAAGGGCAGCCAGACGGGCCGCCCTGCGTGCAAACCTCCCCATGATGTTGTGTGATGTAGTGGGCAGGCCATACCCACTGGTCAACCACTGGTGGCTGTGTGGGGGCTGGGGTTGACCCCTACTGGCTGGTACCTGTAGCACTGCCCAGCAGGACGGTTGCCTTAAGTCACGTAGGCAAAGACCCAACCTGTCTGAAGGCTGACGGGAGGCAGGGAACAAAGGAGGGAGGTTTGTTGTTCCTAACCCACGGGATCTGAGGCATCCTGGCCCAGACTCCTGTAGCAATATCACGTCCGTGCGGTGCTGTATCCCGGAGGAGCAATAAACCCCCTCTGTTCTCAAGACTGGCGGAGACTGTTCTTGCTGCGACGGGGCTACAGGATTTGGGGGGACCCCGACCCGGCATCACAGGTCGGTGGGACCCGCCGCTTCAAACAGCAGCTACAGCATCCGATGAATCCCCGAGAAAGTCTCCTGCAGGCCCCCTCTCCAGAGCCCCCTGGCCCGCGTGGGGCCGCCC